TGAAACACCAATCATAAAGAATGTATGCACCCTTATGTTCATAGAAGTACTATTTATAATAGCTAAGATCTGGAAACAGCCCAAGTGCCCATCAACAGATGACTGAATAAATAAGTTGTGGTACATTTACATCAAGGAATACTATGCAGCAGTAAAAAAGAAGGATCTCTTACTTTTAACACAGCATGTAGGGACCTGGAGAGTATTATGCTAAGCAAAATAAGCCAGTATAAAAAGACAAGTATCAATTGATCTCACTCATTGTGTAATTTAATGAACAAAATTTACTGATGAACAAAACAGATCCAGAGACATGGAAGCATAGAACAGATTAACATATCTCAGAGGGAAAGATGCAGGGGAGGAAAAGGGGGTGAAGGAAAAGATTAACCAAAGAAGTTATATTCATAGCCCATGAATACAGACAATAGTGAGGTAGGCCTGGGAGGGAGGGGGCTGGGGTCCATGAGGGAACAGGACATCAATAATACTTCCAGCAATAAAGATATATTTTTTTTAAAAAAGAATGAAATATAAGGTACTCATTGAGGGCAGCTGGGGTGAGGACATGGTGGAGACTTCCCGCCTCACCACCACCAAATCAGCCCTAGATTGCCTTTCTCCAGATTTGTATGCTTATGCTGTTTATATTACTGATGATTTACATCTCTGCTACTCATTTTAATCCTAGGCGATTATTTTTTAAAATAAAAGTAATAGAATAGCTTGTGCAGTATGTTTCTAAATATATATATGGAGAGAGGGGGAGAAAAACAGCAAGATGAAAGAGAGAACATAAATCATTTCATGGAACACAGATTTTCATTTTCTCTTTATAGCTTTCAAATGTAATGGGATATTTTTACATACTCTTAATGTTCTCAAGATTCAAACAAAATAAAGCCTTTTTAGTGCTTATACAAATTGGCTTTCATCTACAGATGGAAAGTTAAAATAATGAATACTCACATGTAGACATGGTATATTGGTAATGTTTTAAAATGTTTACACTGAAAATTTTTAAAAGCTACTATTGAGGAATACATTCAGATTGGTCTTTATATGTGTTTTTAGATGAGCTAATGGATAAACATTTTTAGATATGCTAGGGTTTATTAAAATATGATTTATAGTTCATTAAAATATTATTACAATTAGCCTATGGCCAAGTTAGAAATAAATAATTATAAACCAAATCAATAGAAGTAGAAATTAAAATAAATGACAAACCAATCTATAATACAATATGGTCATTCTAAGTCAAATATTAGCGATATTTAAAATGGAGAGTAAATTATGTTACAAAGAAAATTTTATCCTAAGAATATAATCATTGCTTAATATCAGAGTACCTGTGACTGTAATATCAATAGTTCAAATAGAAAGATAATAACTTTCTTTTTATTTACTCTATTCAACACAAGGGCTTTAATAGCATTCATTCTTAAGAGGGAATAACAATATAAATATACATTTTATTATAAAAATATATTTTAGATCAACAGGAAATATAGTTAGTTATAAAATATGGTAAGCTTTTCCATTAAAATAATACTTAAGGATGCCCAGTATCACTATTTTAATTGTCTTATTTTATCTAAAGGTATATGATAAATATAGAACTTCATAAATATAAAATAAAAGCTGTGGGTATTGGCAAGAAGAAGACAAATCTATGATTTGCAAGTGATAAAATTTTATATGTAGAATTTTTAAAAGAAAAACTAAGGGAAAAGTTCTCTAAGTCAGTAAATGTTCAGAATGGATCCTGAGTTAAGTTTATATATATTTAAGAATCAAGTGCTCCTGCTTTTGCTTTTAACACAGAGCAATAATTAGTTGGAAACTATAGAAGAAATTTCATTAAAAATAGTAAGAAAATACAATTTGCTTAGTTCTTCCTAGGGGGCATGCAGGAAGCAGCCAAATCAATGATTCTCTCTTATCATTAATGTTTCTATCTCTCTCTTCCTCTTGTGTCCTTTCTGAAATCAATAAAAAATATATTAAAAAAATACAACTTGTCTAGAAATATTATTATCTAAAAATTAATGAATTTATATGAAGAAAATATAAACTTTTGCTTGAAAAAAATGTGGCTTAATTATAGTATATAACATGTTCCTAGTTAACCAAATGAACCTATTTTCATCCCATTCAAACCCCATTTTAATTGTCAGAAAATGTATAACATCATTCTAAAATTCACCTGGGAGCATGTACAAAAATAATGAAGGCAAGTGTGAATAAAGCAAGACTAATGAAGATTATAAAACACAGTGATTAACAGTATGATGTGGAATAGCCCTGAACATTAAATCTGTGCATGTATAATAACAGTAATGACTTCTGCCATAAACTGTTGCCCATCTTGTGACAGATAGTGTAAAAGAGAACCATCATACACATACCATCACACCTGCTCTATAGAGTCAAGTGTTAGTGTACCTACTTTGTACCTAAAACTGGTATGATAGAAGTTAACTAATTCAGTTTAAGAATGCCACAATTCCTATTTTATAAATAAACTAGAGGCCTGGTGCATGAAAATTCATGCACAGGAGGGGATTCCCTCAGCCCAGCCTGCCCCCTCTCACAGTCTGGGAGCCCTCAGGGGTGGGAGCAACCCAACGATCAGGGGAAGGCAATGCTCTATCACACCTCTGCTGCTACCACTGATGGCAACGCAAGCCTCAGCCAGCCCTGGTTATCTGAGCCTTGGGAAGCCCTGGGTTTCTGGGCAGCCACCCTCCAAGGCTTGTTTGCACCTCAGGCCAGCCCTGGGTGGCTGGGGGCTGAGGGGACTGGGGGACTCTGTAGGCAGGCACATGGCATCTGAGGCTTGCTGCACACCTGTCTCCCCAGAGAAGGTGAGGGGACTGGATGCCATTGTCTTTGAGGGCATGGCAGTCAACTAGCATATTCCCTCCTTATTGGCTGTGGGAGCCACATTCTTTGTGACAGTGTTAGGGTCGGTCAATTAGCATATCCCCTCTTTATTAGATAGGATGAAGGCTATAAAAGAAGAACTTATTCTACATTGGAGATGCTATTGAGAGAGAATGATTTCTTTCTATTTTTTCTTTTTCTTAAAATCAGATTACCTATTGCTTGTTCACATTGAGGTTGTTGTTTAGTCTGGTGTGTTTTTGAAGCTAGTTTGAGTGGACTTTAATCTGTTACAGTCAAAGATTTTCTAACATATGTACCAAAGTCTAGTATATTCATTTTACATCCTTCAAAAACAAATAGCCAAGAGAACATCCTAAAGTAGAGGTGGAGAACCTTTTTTTTTTTTTTTTCCTGCCAAGGGCCATTTGGATATTTATAACAACATTTGATTAAGATAATTCACTTAACGTAAATTTATCTTGCTATGAAAAAAAACAAAACAAAACAAAAACTCCTAGATTTATTGAATTTCAAGTCCTGCCTGCATTTGCCTTGGCAGGGCCAGAACAAACGATATCACAGGCTTTACAGGGCAGCTGAGCCTGCTACTCCTCACCCCTATCCTAAACTAATGTTAAAGACATATTACAATATATAAAAATATGAAAAAAATCATTCATGTTGTATATCTTTTATAACCATTGAGAAAAAAATCAATAATATCCACAGTATGAAAACCCATAGTTCATAGCAAATAACTTACATGTATTTTAGAGAAAGATTTTAAAAATCTAAATACAATGAAAAGAACTAAAGGACTTGTATGCATGCATATAAGTATAACCAATGGACAAAGTCACCTGGAGATGAGGGCATCACTGGGGAGGGGGGCACTGGGGGAATAAGAACACATTTGTAATACCTTAATCAATAAAGAAAGAAAGATAATAAAAATAAATAAAAATGGGGAAAAAAAAGAAAAGAAAATATAGATGGAGTAGTACACTATTTGTTTGAAAAATAGAAGCAAACTGAAAGAAATGTAAACATTACTAAAAATGTGTGTTTTACATAATATCATACACAACATTTGTTATCAAACAACTAAGAAATGCTTGCTAACATATAATCATAAACTAAAAAGTTCTTGTACAGAAAGTATTTCCACAGTTATTGAGAAAAATACACAAAACTTGTAAAAAAAAATAAAGAGGTAATATGAATTAATAATTCACATTACAAACTAGCTAGTAAAGGTGTTAAAAGTCCAATCAATGATAATGAAACATATACCCATGAAACTGACTATTTTTCATCTATTATATTAGTAAATTTATTAAAAAGGGACATTGAATTTATTTGTCAGTAGTTATCTTAAACTTTTTATATTCAGAGAAGTGGGCATGAAATTTTGCCAATAAACGTGTAAAAATATTTACACTTGCATGTAGAAATTCCACTTTTTGGAATATATTATAAGAAAATAATCCCAATATTATAAGAAAGTAAAGCTATACTTAGACAAATTAAAATACTAAAAATATTTGTCATCACACATTGTGCAGGAAATTCATATTAAAAAGGATAGTAAAAGTAAGTAAAAGTTTAAATAATATATAATAAAATGCCTGATGGAATATTAAAAAATCAAAAATAGTATTTAGGGTATTTTTATTGCTATTAGCGAGGGTTATCACAAAATAATAAAAGAAAAAACAGAATTAATTTTATGAAATCAAGAAACTTTATAAAAATTAGTAGTTTATTACACAGATAAAAGAAGGTTAAGAAGGATTATTCATTTTTTTTAAAGATATTTTCTTACTTTTTTAGAGAGAGGAGGAAAGGGGAGAGAGAGAAACATCAATGTGAGAGTGAGGCATTGATTGGCTGCCCCAACAGAGGATGGAGCTACAACAGGCATAGGTGCCCCTACCAGGAATCCAATTGGCAATCCCTCAGTGCCTGAATGATGCCCATCTGAGCCACACAGGCCGTGGCAAGAAGTTTTATTTCTTCATTAAAAATATTTTTATGTTTCTCTGAACTTAAAATTTGTTTTACAGTGAACATGAATTACTTTTATGATAAAAATGAGAAAACAAGCATACTTTTAAAGGAATTTTATTGAGAATTAATTCAATAACTGTTAGTGATTTTAGTCTGGCATTTGTAAAGGGTAGGCAATTGGATGTGTGATACAAAAATATTCTTCATAAAGAATTGACCTTTTAAAGTAGTAGAATCATAGAGATCATAATGTCTCCATTTGTCCTGGAAAAAAGTAGAAAGAGAATGTTGCTATTAGTAACTAGAAGGAAGATATAAATAGAACTAATTTCTACTATGAGATATATCTTCATTAAAGGGCTATGTATCCATCATGCTCGAACAAGGCGATCTTTACGAGGGCCTCCCTGCCTCAGTGCAGATTCATCAGCAGTCAGTGGACACTGTGGTACTAGCAAGCCTCTTCCCAGAGAAGGGATATGACTCGGCAAAATAGGCGTTTTGGGAAGGAAGCCCAAACACCAGCTGTATATAACATGCCCAATTGTTTTGTTTAGTGCATGTGTCAGAATTAAATATTTCCTATTTACTGAGTGGATTTTTGAAAGAAGTAAGGACTGAATAATTTCCTATCTGGACTGAATTATTTCTTATGCAATGCATTTCTTATGCAAGTAAACCAGGGTTCCTCCAAGAGCCATTAACAAAGGGCAGATGAGGTCAGCCTTTATTGTTACAGAGTTCCCGAACAATCGAACAATGCATGAGAGTTTGTAGAGACTTACTTTATTCATTGCATGATGGGATTAGAGAAAATGAATTCAAATTCTAAGCAAGGATACAAGCAGAACTTCCCTTTTTATGTGCACTTAGTGGTTATCTCGATGCTGGCCTTGAAAACAATACAGTTCTATCCAATTAAAAAATGCACCTGGCATGGCATTGAGATTATGGGCATATCTAGTCTCTGGCCTACAAGGTCATACAGCTAAGTTTATCTTCATCCTTATTCAAACAGGCTAAAGCAGACTAGAAAGCACCATTTTATCTAAGAAAAACAGCAGTAAATTCCAAACAGCAGGGTGTTTTGTTTTGTTTTTTACAAAATAGGGGTTTTCCTTCTCATTGTGATGACTGGGAAGCAGCATTCTATCCTGTTCACCATTCAATCTAGACTTTATGTCAAGACTCTGAGCAGGAAGCACCCAAATCCACTTCTTGGTTACATTTACCTGAGATACTTCATGTGTTTTAGTTCCCAGGGAAGAGGTAGAAATACCGTGTCAAGGATACTCTTTCAATCGTTGGCATCTGAGCCAGTTCATTTGGTGTCTCAAATGAACGTTGAACCTAAAGTAGCAAGGAAAGCCTTTAGAGATTTTCGAAAAAGGAAACTTGAGTTTCTCACTTAGGAATCAGAAATTTATAGTATGTGTTAAGGTTATTTTTACATGGTATAAACAGAAGAAATTTTAGCATCCTTGGATTTAGTGCATACACAATGGGATTAATACCTTCAAAAACATTCCCTGAATGAGCAAGGCTATTAGAATTGGAGAAACTCACACTGGCTCTATATATTACTTCAAAAAAGTTCCCATGAAAGTAAACTTGGAGTATAGGAAAGAGCATCAAAGGGACTTCAGGCTTCAGGATTCCTGAAGACATTTTGCAAATAGTTCTACAAAGTTTTCTAGGACATGGAATAAAAGGAAAAGAAGACCCTACCTTTCGAAAAATCTCCTCCAAATGATGACACCAAGAATATTCTTTGATGTGGTAGATAACTTGGGAAATGAATAAAGAGCCATTCTTTTCCCTTCTCCAAGAGCTATTATCTGCAAATAAAAAGTATAAAAATATTGAGCGATGCAGACTTTAAGTATGAAAGACTCCTAAAGCCATAGCTTTTAGACTAAGTTTGATTTTAATGCTTTGGAGGAGAGAGGGAGGCCAAATCTGGATAAAGCTAGGTCCACAGGTTTTTAAAGCAGTTCAAAGAAAACCAACATGGACCCTCAACCATAAGTCCCCTTGACTTTATTAGTAGCAGGGCCAAAGTTATGGACCTTAGGAGTGCAAGTAGTGGAAAAGAACATAAATCCTTTCAGCATCTACTACACTGTACAAAAAAGAATACAACCCTTGATGTTCTTTGACTCTGGTTCTTCTCTTCATCCATACTATTTCCTAGTATAATTTTTTTTACAGTTAAAGTTTCATTGTATGAATATCTTTTGAATTACTACTCTTTTCAACTGAAATGTGATCAATTATCTTCTATCATAAAAAAAGCAAATAATCTAATTGTCAGTTTATCTGCAGCTACCTTCCTATTTATCCTTTCTTTGTATAATTAAGTTTCTCAAATATATCTCTATTCACCATCTTCATTTTCTCCTAGTCTCCTCACTGCTGTCTAGCTTCTTCCTCCCACACTATATTTACCAAATGACTTTCTGCAAGCTCACCTTTATAATCCAAGACATTAATTTAAGGGTAACCCATTGGGCCTCTTCTTCATCTGAGCTCTTAATCACATCAGAAATTATTGGTAACTCCACCAGATTCTTTCTTAGTAACTCTGACAATGCATACTCCTAGTTTTCTTTTTTATTCTCTGACCATACCTTCTGAGTCGATTTATAAAATAAATATATTCTTATTGATTTCAGAGAGGAAGAGAGAGAGATAGAAACACCAATAATGAGAGATATTGATCATTTGGCTGCCCCTTGTATGCTCCACTCTAGGGATCGAGCCTGCAACCCAGGTATGTACCCTGAATAGGAATCAAATGGCCACCTCCCAGTTCCCAGGTTGATGCTCAACCACTGAGCCAGGCTGGTTTGGCCTGAGTCTAATTTGATGACTAATAATTCTAGCTCTGATTTTGAACTCTAGAGTTCTTCAGGTCTCAGATGTAGGATTTCATCTCATTCTGTTCTCTATTTCTAGATAATTTTATCTATTTTTAGAATATTAAATATCAACCTTTAATGAGCATCTCCTAAAATTCTAACTCTCCTCTGAAAAATACAGCTATGTAACTTTTTACTCTTCATTTCATCTTGAAGTATACAGAGGCATTTCAAACTTTCTTTCAGAATTCCCATTTTAATGAATGTACCAAAGTCATCTACTTGCAAACTTGAGTCACCTCTATCACCCCTTCTTTACCTGCTATATACACTAAACCACCAACTCATATTTATTTTTATCTACTAATTATTTCTTGGATCCAACACCTTACCTCATTCCAAGACTATCATTAACACCTGTGGCTTATAATACTGCAATAACATATCAACCTGTCCCCCATATATCAACTCTTATTAGACTGTAATCCATTCCCCACAGTATCCCCAAGGTGATCATTTAAAAATATTATCATTTCCTTGCTTAAATTTCACCAAAATTTCCTATTACTATCAGTATAAAGTAATATTAATAAAGTATCTATAATAATAAAAGACTAATATGCAAATGGTCATCACACCCTCATGCCATAACAACCAATCAGCAGGAGGTGCTGGAGCACCTCTCAGGCCCTCCCTCAGCCCCAGAGCAGTGGCTCTCGTGGCACTGATGGGAGATAGGGTGCGGATGAAAGGCAGGGCACCTCATACAATTTCATGTGCTGGACCTCTAGTATTAGTATAAAAGACCAAAATTTTTCCTAACATACAAGACCTCAAATTGCATGGCTCCTGTGTACCTCTCCAACCTCTTCTTGGAAACTCTCCCCTGGACCCACGCTCCAGCTTCACTGGCCCTGTTTTACAAGTTCCTTTCTCTCTCAGGTCCTCTGTGTACCTTGCTTTATCTGTCTGGTATTTTCCTCTCTTACCTTTGATGTGGTTAATCCCTTCATCTTTCACCTGTGAGCAAAAGTTTTTCTTTAAAGCATTTATCACAGTTGACAATCATTTCTAATTTATGTTATGTGATGTGTATATTCCTGTCCCCTCTCCAACCTGACCATATACTCTGTAAGCTCCAGTAGTCATGTCTGTTTTATCATATTTATCATATGCCTGCTCCCAGCCCATTTTTTATACACATGATTATGTGTATAAAAAGTGAATGCAAGAATTTTACATATTATACTTTATTTTCTCAACTAAATTAAACAATGTCTTAGAGAATGTATCAGGCCATACATGACTTTTAACTAAATTTAAAAATAAGAAGTATAGGTTTCTTCTTTAAAATATATATTCTCCAATATCTATAATAATAAAAGCATAATATGCAAATAGACCAAACTGCTGAACAGCAGACAACCAAGCTATGACACCCACTGGCGCCAGGCCAGCCAAGGCAGATGTGCTGTGATTGGTTGAGGGCCTGGCCATCACCCCATGATCACTCTGCAGAGGGAGGCCCAGACCACTGACTGGTGGCCTGCAGCAGGTGGGCAGGGCCTACCTCTGTGTGAGCGAGCTATTATGGGGCTCCCAGACTGAGCTGAGGGAACTACTTTAACCCCCATTGCATGAATTTCATGCACTGGGCTTCTAGTATAAAATAAAGTGAAGCAGAACTATTCCAGATGTGCAGTTGGCCTGCCTGAGCTTTTTCCTATTTCTCCAGGCTAGACTCAGAGGATCCTCTAGTTCCTTGCTACTTCTCACTTATGATCATGGTTCAATAGCATTGGTACTACCATGGAGATTTTCTGAAAGGCAAATCTACTAAATCAGAAATTTACATTTTAATGAGATTACCAAGTAATTTCTTTGCACATTAAAGTTCTCAATTACTAAAGCACTTAAAACTATGAATTATGTAATCTAGGTTCTAAAAATGGCCCTTGTTATCTAAATGTTGTTAAACAATGTTGCAGATGACTATTATATCAGGTATGTCTTTTGTTTCTGCCTTCTACTCTTCTACTATAACTCCCTACCAAAGAAAGATAGTTCAGTCATTGGCTGAATTATCCTAAAGGCAGGCACTTGAATTTTAACAGATTTCCCAAAACTACATTCAAATAGTAGGCCAAGAGATTCAAGATTATGTAGTGCAATTATTATAGTTTTACTGTTTCTCTTATTTAATTGCTAGTACATGATCAGGTTGAACAAACCATGAGAAGATGATACATTTCTGTGCCATGGGTATATTAAAAAAACAAAACAAAACAAAACAAAAAAATAAAAATAAACTCTTAACTTTATTTATAGTTAGACTATTCTAAGTCTGGATCTTCATTGACCTTCTGTGTAGTTTGAAAGTTTCCTCCGAAATCAAGACTTGTAACTAGAAAGTGATGCAAATTTTAATATTTTAAATATATCTTCCACCCAAAATATCTCATTATATAGGAAATGTTCTTAAAATAGTGATAAAATATTATCATGGCCTAGCTTGTAATCTAGGAACTAATAGGCTGAGATATTGTTCTCTCTGAAGTCACTTACGTGGAGTTGATGATTTGAATGCAATGAAGTCTTTTTCCACGTGGGTCTTTATAACAGCATCACTCCAGACATAACACTGAAAAGTACGACTATATCTACATGCAGTGGCTTCTCCCATGGCTGGCACCCAAACACTCCCATCACCATCTGAGAGAGACATCTGTGTCATATGAAAGATGTTATATTCAAACACACACACACACACACACACACACACACACACACACACACATTTACCATTATACCTTTACTTCAATACATTTTGGTATAGCATTTATACCAAATATATATAATATATAAAAATAAAATTATTTTACTGCTAGAAAGACTATCTCACTGACTCTCAACCATACAAAGCCCACTTAACTTTATAGTAAATTTGTTAAGTTTACAAATAATTGGGGCATTCCTAATTAGGCTACTTAAAATTTCTTTAGGAATAATACAAATTAACACAATTCTGGACTGGACCTAAGAGTAGTAATGAAATGTTTTTTCTCGCTCATCTATGGGAAAAAGAAGGCTAGAAATCAGAAGAACAGAAAAAAATGTAAAGCCATTCCCTGGTTTCCCCCAACTCAGACTTACTTCCTCTGCAAGCCTGCATGATGATGATCTTGGGTTTGTCTCTTAGACTTTGGCAGTTACGGTTGTTGAAAATTTGGAAGACTGTATCATCATGAAGTATATCTGGTTCTCCTTCTTTGTGTTTTGTCCCACAGATTCCTTCCAGGACACCATGTGACATAAATACCAAGATTGTACTGTCTGAGGATCGGTGCTCTTCTCGGTCAGCAAACTCAAGTAGCGCTGCTTCCATTTCCTGAAAGAGACTCCAGAATCACTATGAAGGAATTCTCCATATATACTTTGTAACTGAATAGTATATGGAGTTAACAAAAAGGTGTAGGCAATAAGGGATCAGGTGATTTGGACTTTAGGACGATGCTGGGAGATGGAATAGAATGAGGGGCAAGTGACATGACTAGTCTCTAGTAGGAACGCTTTGTTTTCATCGGTATATGTTGAACTTTCTGTAAGTTTTAATTTTTTTTTTAAAAAGGAGTTTTCTATTGACAAAAATTATAAACACTTAACAAATTCATTCATTATGGAACAACAAAAAGTTAGGTTTACATGATTTGTCTAAAGTCACCCAGGATATTTTAAGCAGAACCAGAATCATAACTTTGTGTGTGCGTGTTTGTGTATGTAAACTTGTGGGTTTTTTCTTTCTTTCTTTCTTTTTTTTTTTTTTTTACTACATATGTGCTTTTTACATTTAGACACATGATACTGAAAGTATAAAAGTCTCATGAGCTTATTCTATAGTTATCAGGCAATTTTTGAGCCCAGGTCTTTTGTTTCACCAATACTATCAAGTAATAGATTTTGTTTCAGATTGAGACCTTTAAAGAGATCCAGAATTTTTAGTGAGATACTACTACTAAAAGGGACTCTAAACCTTTGCTATGAGATTGCACTGGAGGAGGCAGAACTCCGAAAGATCCTATTCTTGAGCAAATATAATCCTATAACATATGCATATTTTATTCGTATAGCTGCTAAGAAAAAGTTCAAGAGTTTAGGATGGTAGGAAGCTTGTCCCACTTTCTTAAGTTCTTACCGGGGCTGTGAGATTCATTTTTACAACCACTGAGTATCCAAGGCTTTCTAGCAGGTCTTGCATCCCCAAAAGGTCATCTTCAGAACCATATCGATTACAAAGATAATCAAATTCTTTGTTGTGGATGATGAGGGCCAAGCGTGTTCTGCCCTCTTTCTTCATCACTGGATAAATCTGCAATTAACAAACACAGAACTAGTTGTTCCAGAAGCCTCCTCATTTTTGCCTCCAAAGTGCATAGAAAACAGATCTTTCCCATTATAGAATGGATGGCTAAGGAGCTTAGGAGTGGAACTACTCTATATCCTTATGAGGAAAGAGGACCAAAAACTAAACACATGCAGTAGGAATTTGACATTGGTTAGGTGGTGGGTAGGGGTTTAGAGTGTGTTCCAGGATGGGATGGAAGAGACAGGAAATCTAACATAAGGATTACTTAATTAGATAGCTTGATTAGATAACATCCTATGATTTTTTACAAGAACTAAAATTCCCAGTGTTATCTCCAGTATCTTATTTAAATGGGCAAATTATGTTTCTCCCTATTCCAAAGCAAAATACCTCATCTGCCTTTGTTGTAATCAGTCTCTTGAAATGTTCAGGAGGACAAAGCTTCAACTCATGAATGGGTTGGGAAGCCTGGTTTTCCTGAGGAACTAAAAGAAAAAAGCACAACAAAAACAAACCCTCATTAAGCAATAACATCCACTGCTTTGCAGTCATGCAGCCTGTTGAGTGGGCTCTCGTTCTTAGGGACTGCTTACTGCTATCTCACCCAACAGCTTAATATAATAAAAATGATTTCTATTTAAAATTACTAAAACAAAAACTTGAGTGGTGCCCTTCTTTTCTTTCTGCCTCTTAGTGACCCCCCACTATATATTTCTGTTTTTGTTAGGGCTCATAGCATTGACTAATCTTTAAAAACCAACTCATTAAATTTGTATAAACACAGTATCTAAGATTTAGAAGGAAGTTTTCTGTCCATTTGGCCTAGTCAAGTTACCATTCAGATATTTGAATGCCACGTACAATACCCCTACTTATTACTACCATTCTCTGAAATATCTCTACTAACAGGTAACTTAACACACTCTATAAATCAGTTTTTAATAGTTATGAATATCAGAAAGTGAGAACCTTCTAAGTATTGTTATGTATTTCTCACATTGTGATCACAAAAAAAGTCAAATTCCTTTCCCTGTGAAAGCCCATGAATTCTTCTATGACTTCAATTTATCTCCACATTATTTTATATAATTGCCCCATATAAAAAACTATTGTATTTTACCTTGTGTTTATTGTACTGTAAGCTTAATTAGGACAAGGAAAGTATGTTGAATCTTTGTACTTTCAGTATCTAGCAAGATAATGTGGCACACAATAATGATATTTGGCACAGTTTATAACTGCTTATTAATGAATACAGTAGTTATCTTCACCTTGAAAATAGCTACCAAGTATTTCCTGGTTCTTTGTTTCTCCTTAGTACAACAAACCTCTGTTCCTTTTAATATTTTTTGCATAAAAATTATTTCATTTTGTAACCAACAAATCCATCAGTTCACCTACATATATCTACTCACCTACTCTATTTTTCCTTCTATTACAAATAAAGACAAGTTCTTCCTCCAATAAGAATGATACCTCTACTTATGCTCTGATTTCCATCACCTCTCACCCACAGGACTTGACTCAGGCATTTTTTTTAGCTGTGCTTTCTCCACCATTAGTTTCTCTCAATCTTCCCATTGTGTTATTCCCATTGGCATAGTAGCATGCCTTCATATCAAGTTATCTGTTAAAACACCTGCCTTTGACCTCACTTCCTCTCCAGCTATTAATTGTCCCATTTCTCTTCACTTCTCAACACAACTCCTTTTAAGGCTTTGTTTATGTTCACTATTTTTATTTTTTCCCCAATTAATTTTTTTCCTCCTGGATGCAATATAAACTACCATCCTTACCATGTAAAGTACTTGTTATCAAGGTTACCAAAGACCACCTTTTTCCTTTCTCATCATTTAACATCTTATTTTTGGAAGATGTTTTCTAGGCTTCTGGGATGCTGCATTTTTCTAGCATCCTCTCTAAATCTGTCCCCACTGGTGACTCTTCCTCTTTTGCCATTAGTCCAAAAGTTGGCTTGTTCTAAGTTGGAGCTTCTGTTGTTCTTTCAGCATTTCTCCCCAGATGGCCTTTTTCAGTCCCATCACTGGAATTCTATCTTCATGCAGATGAATCCCAAAGTGTTTTCCCATCCCTGATTCTTTTGCAAAATCCTATTTACTCAACATCTGCCTTAAATATAGCACATTTCAAACTAAACATGTACTAAGGGCTCCTGATATTTGTCCACTCTTGCAAATGTGTTTCTCCTGAGTTTACTCTGAACCACAAGTTTCGCTGTCTCAGTAAGTGGTATCTACTTGTCAAGCCAAAAAAACCTAACACTACCCTTGATTCATTTCTTTTATCAGCCCACATCAAATTTATCTATATTTCTGTTGATTTTGCTTCCAGAACAGATCCCAAATTTAATTCCGTCATAATCTCTATTTCTAAACTAAAAGCTATTACATATGCAAATATGTTTCAAGTAGTCTTGCTGATTCTATGTTTGTCTATCCCTTTTCTTAAAAACTCCTTAAATGGTTTCTATTGCAAACAAAATCCAATTCTTTCCACTCTCTAAAATGCCCCAAAATGGCATTGCAGCAATAGTCTTACTCCTTAGCTACTTCTCTTACCACATTCTAGCTAATTTCTTCAGCCAGGTTGGCCTTTTCTATGACAAGACCATTCAAGGCTCAAAATACTATATTGTTTTTTCTTTCCATGGAATACTTTTGCTTTAGAGTTTGGCAAAACTATTGCTCAGGTATATACTGAAATACCAGCTCAAAAGAATTATCATAACTATCCACCCTGGCTCATGTACCTGCCACCCACCCCAACATCTTTTTCTATGGGCTAATCCTCTTTTCTTGTGTATGTTCCCTGAAATTATGCTATTTCATTTCTGCATGTTTATTATATACCTTCCTTCACTACATTGTAATTTCCATGTAAGCAGGATCTTTATATTGCTTATCGCTATAAACACATTCATTAGAATATCGTATAGTATGTTTTCAATTATTAGTCCGCATTGGTGGTATAGTGGTGAGCATAGCTGCCTTCCAATTATCATATGTAATATAAGAATAGATATAACAATGAGTACAGATTACAAAGTTTTTATTCCTTTGTTTGTTCAGAACTTCTGAAGATCTGATACTCAGAAGACAACATTATCACTACTGCCTTTCTAAACACTATCATTTTTTAATGTGGCTCCATATTTCATCAGGTTCTTTGTTGACCACATAATATGTGTGACTCATACTGTTTTGTCTTTTTAATGTACTTTTCTTAAGCACATCCTTATTTTGTTTTGTACAGTTGCTAGTTTCTTATATCTTAGATGTTTTATGAATCCCTTTAAATATGTTATTAATCCTGTTTAAAAATTTAAACCTCAAAAAAGCTGAGAAATAGATACTAGAGAATATGTTTAGTTGATGGCAGATGGAATTAATGCATAGATTGGGGGGGAGGGGGTAACTCCATTTTTGTTTCCACTGTGTCACAAGACCTTTTTATGTGCCCTAACTCAAAGAGCGCCCTTATATGTCCACGAGGTTACCTGTCAGAGGTAGAACTGATGCCTGGGACAAACCAGCATGCCCCTCAGTTTCACCATCTTCATTTTCACTTCCAGATTCTTAGAATTAAAGAGCAGAGAAGCATGTGTTAATTTTAACTTTTGAGGGGCTTTATTGGGGGCAAAAGGGAAAAAAACCTGATTTCCCAAATCTAAATTCACTGGTCTTTTCACTATAACATAGGGCCGCTGTATAGCTGCCTTACGTCAAGTAATATATGAGGATTCCCATGAGCCACTGGGTTTTGATGGCAGTTACCTATTGGAGGGAGAATCAATGGGTGGACTGATTCAGCTTTTTCCTTACCTTCACTTTCTTCACTTTCACTTCCAGATTCTGAGGTGGAATGAACAAAATGTTAAGCATCAGTGCTCTGCTCTGAAGGTTATTATTCCCAAAGACAAACATTGACTGAGAACACGGGTTTCCTTGGTCTTTACCAGAATATATTCTGACAACACTAGAGGTTTTCACCTATGATGTGAGATTTGGAGGCAGCTACCTGAAGAGGAAGAAGATTCACTGTTCTCAGATTTATTATCCTCATTTTCACGTTGATATGCTAAAATAAAATAAATATGCATTAGCAGAAGTATGTTTCTAGAACCTACATACTTCAGATTCTTCTCCTAGCACTAAGGAAATTACTATGTTCCCCATATGGTATATAAATCATGGAGATTTGGCTCATTCTTTAAATTCCAAATTTGTTTTAGAGGACTGCAACTTCTATAAAGTGAAGAAAGAGGCTGAGTTTCCACAAAATAAGGAATAGGTCATTATCTCCCTGTTTGTTTAATACAAGGAATCATTAAATTATTTAATCAAGGCTTTTCTGAAAAAGCATTTTTCATTTGGAAGAGGAAAAATACATCTCTACAAAAATTCAGCTTTCAACAGCAACAACAAAATTATCCCCCAGGGATGTTGCAAGGATTTGGAATATACCCATGCATAAGTTTTATTCTCCAGTAGGAATCAGCAAACTGCTCTGTGAGCCCTACTCAGCCCAACACCTGTTTATAAATGAAATTTTATTGGAACACATCCACACTCATTTTGTACTTATTATATATTGCTGATTTCATGCCACAACAGCAGATTTGAGTTGTGTTCTGGCAGAAACCTCATGGTTCTGAAAGCTTAAAATACTATCTGTCCTTTCAAAGGAAAGGTGTGGCCAACTCATGCTCTAGAGTCTAGAGAGAAAGACACATGGATGTGTCAAATTGTTTATGTCCTTTTTAAATAAGAATATATACAGGTTCTTGGAGATATGTCTTTTGGGATAGGCCACTGCTTTGCAGAAGACAGTGTTTTTTTGTGCCTTGTGTTTTTTTGTTGTTTTTTTTTCATTTGGATATTCTATATCTAGGAATGACTAATGATTACAGTGTATGGTGAGAGTAGCACAGATTATCTAAAAGTTCTCATTAAATTTAATATAACCCTAGCTAGCACCATTGACTGATTCATTTAGCAAATATTTACTTAGCACCTATGAGGCGCCATTTCTGTGAGTTCAGATATATTCTTAAACAAAGCAGACATATATGCCTTATGGAGTTTACATTTCAGCAGGGAGAGATATGCTATCATAAATAAATACATGTTATGCAATGATGAAGGTCACAATTGCTAAAGAAAATGTGTATCAGTGTAAAGTGACTGGGGATGTTGGAATAGGGATAGGAGTAGATAAGGGCATTTTGAAATTCTATCAAATAAAGAGGGGATATGTTAATTGACCCTCATGCCATCTCAAAGGATGGCTATGCTCACAGCCACTAAGGAGGGAATATGCTAATTGACTGCCACACCCTCAAAGATGGAGGTACCCACAGCCACAAGATGGAGGCGCCCAATCCCCTCAGCCCTGCTGAGCATGGCCACTCCCCGTGCCTGTCTCCAAAGTCCCTCAAGTCCCCTCAGTGCCCCCAGCCACCCAGAGCCAACCCAGGGTGCAGGCAAACCTCAGATGGCAGTTGCCCAGCCTCCCAGGGCCGCCCAAGGCTCAGGTAACCAGGGCTGGCTGAGGCTTGTACTGACAGCAGTGGCAACAGCAGAGGTGTGAAAGGGTATCGCCTTCCCCTGATCACTGGGTTGCCTCCTGCCTCTGAGGGATTCCATACTGTGAGAGGGGGCAGGTCGGGCTGAGGGACAGTCACCCCCCCACCCCCCCTAGTGAATAGATTTTCATGAACCAGGCCTCTGGTATTAAAAAAGAAAGTAGGGCAAAGAAGGTACCAGAGATGTGAACAATTCATGCTCCACATGTGAATAGAAGTAAGAAAACAGAAAGGATATAATGATAGGAGATAAGAACAAGTTACTGGCTTTTTGGTCTAAGATACTCACTCAAACTCAGTAGTTTCTCAGGGTTGAGGAAACGGTTCATAAGTATTTCGCCTGTTTTTTGAGTTTTCTTAGTGATATCCTCAATTAGACTTTCAGTCTTGTTCACAATGATGTCCACTCCTTCTCCCAATCTTTGTAACTCATCCTTATCTATAACCTTTTTATCAATCAGATCATCAAAGAAGCCATCAATCATGTTCTTGGCAATTGACTTCACCTGATTGATTGGATCTTCTTTCTGTCTCTTGTCTGTGAAAACAATAGAATTTTAGATATAGACAAGACTTTCCATAGGTTCCAGGCAGTGGTTCTCTAATTTAAATATATCAAAGCATCTGAAAATCCTGATAAGCAAGAGCTGCCTGCACCCCATTCACAAAAATTCTAATTTGATAGGCTCTGGTCCTGGGTGGCTTAGTTGGTTAGAGCCTCATCCTCATAAGCCAAGGCTGCAGGTTTTATCCCTAGTCAGGGCACATACAAGGTCAGGTCATATACAAGTATCAACAAATGGCCCTTGCTGGTTTGGCTCAGTGAATAGAGCAGCCACCTGCGGACTGAAGGGTCCCAGGTTCCATTCCAGTCAAGAGTACATGCCCAAGTTGCAGGCTCAATCCCCAATGGGGCATAAGAAGGCAGCCAATCAACGATTCTCTCTCATCATTTGCGTTTGTATCTCTCTCCCTGAAATCAATAAACATATATTTAAAAAACAAGCCGAAACCGGTTTGGCTCAGTATAGAGTGTCGGTCTGCGGACTGAAAGGTCCCAGGTTTGATTCCGGTCAAGAGCATGTACCTTGGTTGGGGGCACATCTCCAGGAGGGGGTGTGCAGGAGGCAGCTGATCAGATTCTCTCTCATTGATGTTTCTAGCTCTCTATCCCTCTCCCCTCCTCTCTGTAAAAAAATCAAGAAAATATATTAAAAAATAAAATAAAAAATAAAAACAACAATCAATGAATACATAAATAAGTGGAACAACAAATTAATGTTTCTCTCTCTTCCTACCTCTCTGTCTAAAAATTCTGATTTGATAGATCAGGGTGGGTCTATCAAATTTTCATTCATTTTATTTCATTTCTGTGAATTTTCATTTCTAACAGTTCCCAAGGTGATTTCACAGACCACACATATAATTGCTCATATCTTACTTAAGCCTGTGCCTTTTTATAGATAAAGAAACTGATGTTCAGAGACTTGAAGCAACTTCACTACAGAGGCCCATGATAGCTGACATGGGTCGATTTTTGTATCATCTATCTTTTTTACTTCCTATCACATTTATCAATACTTAAGAATACATGATGTTCAATTGATATAGCAGTAAAACATAAGCATATTATACTTGTAGTAGAATGCATTTTGTTTCCAAGAGCAGGGCTGAAAGCAGCTTTGTTTGTAGAGATTGAGAGCACTAGCCACAGCTGGTTTGCTTGCTGAAAGCGAAACATGGAGGAAATGCAAGTTCCTGGGTCCCACATCAGGGCCTCTCACTCAAACAAGAGAACACTCTTAAAATGGCAAGAATTCAAAGGTGGAAGGAGCCCAAACAAAACCTAAAATCACAGGAAAGGTTTAAGAACACAGATCCACATATTTTTGCATTTTCCTATTTTCCCTCCAAGAAGCTGTAACATATTAACTAAAGTACTTTGTGCTCTAGCATAGTCACTTCTGTGACCCACGCTCCCATCACCCACCATCTAGGAGTAAAATAGTTTTGTCTGATGAGTGCCCCTTTCATGGCTCTGCTCCTCTCCCCCAGCCTTCATCCTGAGCTGTAACTCCCCTAAAAAACAGCCATAAACCACGGAAAAGCTGGAGTTACTCACCAGCCATTGCTGCTCAGTTCTTCCTGGTCAGGAAAACTCTTAAAGTGAAAGCAACTTTCTTTCGTCTCTCATTGGACACGTGCATGTTTACTGGTATTGCTGAAATGGAAACTTCTGCTTCTCAAATTCTCTTGTTCTTTGCCAGCATAGAATAGGCTGCAGGTTTTATCCCTAGTCAGGGATAAAGCTGTGATCCATAGCTTCTTTCCTTTGGAAAACAGAGCAACATCTATCTTTTCAGTTTGATATAACAAAGTCAGTGGAAGTACACACACAGACACACACACACACACACACACACACACACAATACTTCTGCTCTATTTTCTATTCTATTTTTAGCATCATTAATAAATCAGATTGACCCTTGTCTTTGTGCTACAACTTAACCACTAATTGGAGGGAGGACCAACTTGACTGATGCTTGTTCATCCTGGGAAGTGAAGTATTCATGTGGAAGGCTCAAGGAGCAAGAAACTGAGAACTGCACACCTTGACAGCAGTATCACTTTAACGACCCAAATAAGTTACCCCTTTTCCTCTCTCTTTTATTTTAAAGAAAACAAAAAATCACTTTATTTTATATATTAGAAAAGATAAGTTCCATTTTAGTGAAATGTGGATTATTTTTTCAATTTAAGTACAGCAATAGTAATAAGTAAAGGGAACCTTAGAACTGTTATGCTGTATTCAGATTCAATGGTATCTGCTGAACAAGAATAATGGAGACTTCAAGCATCTGCAAGAAAATCCCAGTACTCAGTTTGAAAATAAATGGTTAGATTTAAAAAACTCAGTTAAGATTTATTAAACAATCCTATATAATAAAAGCCTAGATGGCACCATGCATGACAAGATGGCTGTCACTACATTGTTACAAGATAACCGCTATGACATAGTCGCAAAATGGCCATCTCAACACCATCACAAGATGGCCACCACAAGATGATAATCACAAGATGAGGGCAGTTGCGGGCAATCAGGCTAGCAGTTGGGGCAATCGGGCCTGCAGTGGAGGGCAATTGGGAGTGATCTGGCCAGTAGGGGAGCAGTTAGGCATCAAGTAGGCCAGCAGGGGAGCAGTTAGGAGCCAGAAATCCTGTATTGTGTGAGGGATGTCTGACTACCCTGTGGGATCAAGCTTAAAACCGACAGTCAGACATCATCCAAAGGGTACCAATTAGAGAGGGTGCAGGCTAGGCTGAGGGACACCCCTCCCCCATGCAAAAATTTTATGCACCAGGCCAAATGACTGGTCATTATAATTTGCCCCAATTGGGGCTGTTTGGCCAGAACCCACCCATGCAGAAACTCATGCACTGGGTGACTAGTTACTTATAAACATACATAGAATAGTGCCTAATTTATAGTATTTGATGAAACAAGATAGTTAATTTTCCCCTACTAAATAAACTTAAGCCAACCTTTTCCCTCTTTTTCTTGATCTTCTTAGTTATCAGTTGTGGGCATTGTTTATCTATGTATTCATGTGTCTGTTTTTTAATTTTTATTTTATTTGTTGAATGTACAAAGGACTTCTATTTCATTAAAAATAATAGCTTCCCATTAAATTTAAACAATAGGAAAATTTAAAAAATAGAATAAGATCATCCACCTTTAATTTTACACTACAAAGGTACCACAATTATATGTTTTGTTTGCATATTTGTTATTTTTTCCTCTGCTTTTAAAAGACACTTAGTACTGATTTTAGATAGCCCAGTCCTTGACTTCCTTGGATCTATACTTCTGACTATGGACTGGCATTATAACTTGGTTTTGGCGAGCATGATGCAGTGGAGGGACTTTGTACAATCTGAGCCCAGGTCTTTGGAAGCTTGATGAACCTCTCCCTCATGGACCCCTGAGCCATCATGTGAATAAGCCTGGGCTAGATAGCTAGTGGATAAAAGATCACATGGAGAAAAGCCTAGTCATCTCTGCCAAGGTTATCCTAGACCAGCTTCAATTCAGATATTATTCCAATTCATGAGAGATCCATCCCCGCAGTGTCAGTAGAGATGACTACTCTACTTGCAGGTGGTCTTCGGTAGATGAATAGTCCCAGAAACAAGAAGAACCACCCAGTTGACTGATTGACTTGTGAACAATGGTAAGTGCTTATTGCTGTAAGCTACTAAGTTTTCAGGTACTTTGTTACTTAGCAATAGATAACTTACAAATTTGTGTTTACCTATACATTTTCCCCATATTATTAATATTTTTTAAATTTGGCGACAGATGACAAATATTTATAAAAGTCAACACTTTAAGAACTATCTCAATTTTTGATGATTGTGTAGTATTAAACCTATTGATACATTATAATTTTAAAATGTTTGGTCAAAGTAATAGATAAGGCGGCTTATCCAGTAGTACTGAATGGCATATAATGAAAAGTACATCCTTCACTATAACCCTTTCTATTTTCAAACCCACATGCACATGCTACTTATCATTTCTTTAAAACATTTTGGTTTTGTTTTCTAGTGGTAATTTTCAGAACTCTCAATAACATTCCTATTTTATCCCTCTATTCCTTAATATTAAATTCAAGCAATGCCTTTGATTACTTCATATAAAAAGTGAGATATAGTTTACTTATATTATATTACCTCAATTCTACCAATTCTGCCTAATATTTTATTATATGGCTTTAAATTATTCTTTTAATTAATTGTTCAATATTAAATACTATTTGACCCTTATTTCTTCTGTCATCAGTGTTGTTCAATAATAGTTCTCTATGTGAATTGATGATAATTATTAATAAATAAAAAAGTAATAAAAAATTAAAAAAATTAAAAAGAAAAATAACTAAATATTAAAAATAAAAAATAAAATAAATTTTAAAAAATGAAAAAATAAATAAATTGATGATAGATGGCTTCATACAGTTCCTTTCATTTTTCCTCATGTCCAATCATACCACCATTTTAACCTATATTTTTCTTTTACATTGTCTAAGTTATTAAAATTTTCATTCACTTTTGTATCCACAACCAAGTCTTTTGTGCTTTGTCCATGAAATAACTAAATATTAAGAAGATATAATAAAAGCATTTATATTAGTACTAGAGGCCTGCTGCATGAAATTCGTGTACGGGTAGGATACTTAGGCATGACCAGTGATTAGGGCTGATCTGTGGGTCGACTGACAGCTTGATCAAGGCCCCTGCTCCCACTCAACTTGGACTGGTGCCACCCACTTGATGACCCCATCCCACCACTGCCACCTGTCGGGCCTGTGGGCTGGAGACAGCTTCTGCATTGAGCATCTGCTCCCTGGTAGTCAGTGTGTATCATAGTGACTCGTTGTTCCACTGGTCATTTGCTGTTCCATCAATTTGCATATTAGAGTTTTATATAGATAAATTTGCTATGTATATACCTACCTAGCAAAATTATACTTTGGGTCTACATTTCCATCTCTTTGGGCCTGATCTCACAACAAATAATTTTCAATTCAGAGAAGATTCTTTCTAACCTCAAGATCTACCAGCTCACCATTATCAGGTCTCATATAGTTGGCTTAAGCTCCTAAAATTTTGTCAAAGGCTAAGCCATTGATTTTTTCTTCTAGTCATTCATTCTCATCTGGTGAAAGACATTGTTTAACAGTAATCCAATTTCTCTTCTACATGATTCATTTTCCCTTTTAATCATGTCATTATTATAACCATTAAAAACACAATAATTCCCCTTTATTAAAAAGAACTCTCTTGATTCTACTTACCCACAAATCATCAAAAGCATTATTCATCCTTACTTTTCCCAAATGTGTTTTTTTTTACTTTCTTCAACAAGTTCCAATTACTCTTTTGTTTCTACCCCTCCATCAAAACAATTCTTGTTAATGTAATCAGTGACTTCAATGTTGCTAAAATTAAGTATTTAGTGATCAATTATTTTTGACCTATTAGAATAATTTCACAGTGATTTTTGCACCTTCATCTGAAAACCCTCATTCATTTGTTTTTAAAATCACATCTTTATCTTGATTTTTCTGTTACTTCATTGCTTGCTATTCACATATTTGATCTTTGCTTTATTTTTCCTCACTTATCTAGCAGTGTTTCCAGTATCTTGGTTTTCAATACTGTGTGTGTGTGTGTGTGTGTGTGTGTGTGTGTAAAGACACTAAAATTTTTAGCTTCCAGCTTATGTCTGTTCCCTTAATGCCATTCTCATATAACCAATGTCAACTGGGTATCTTTTGAATGTCTGGCAGACATCTTATTTTGACATTTCAATCTCTCCAAACCTAACACCTCTGGAAGTGTATCCTATTTTATTATTTGAGTTATTAAAGCCAATTTTATGTTTCCAGTTATTCAGAGTAGAACACAGTTCTTTCTTTCCCAAAACTTCATTTAGTTCCATTGGCTATCCCTACAAAACTTGAAGGCTGCTCACTACCCTCTCTTCTATCATCCAGATTTGGACTACCATCAACTTTGAATTTTTGCAATACCCTCTAAGTGCTCTTCTGCTTCAACTTTGGCCCAATCATCCTCATTCTCATCTTTCCCTATGGCCAAAGTGACCCTCATAAACATAACTCTGAAAATTAAATTTATTATTTTCTCATAATTTTCTAATAGCTTCCTATCTTAGAGTAAAAATGAGAGCTATTTTATAGTAATGCCACCTTGTATAATTGGATTCTTGGTCACCTCTGCAATTTCATGTCCTAAAATTTTACTATGTTTGCCCTGGGATTCTAGCCATATTAATTTCCTTGTTAATCCTCAAACATACCAAACACATTTTCTTCTTTTATTATTATTATTATTAATTCTCACCTGAGAATATTTTTCATTGATTTTTTTTTTTTTTTTTTTTTTTTTTTTTTTTTTTTTTTTTTTAGAGAGAGAGAATGGAAAGGAAGGAAAGAGACAGAGAGAAACGTCCATGTGAGAGAGACACATTTCATTGATTGGTTGCCTCCTGCACACACCCTGACTGGAGCAGGGGATTGAGCACAATACTGAGGAACATGCCCTTGACTGGAATTGAACCCATGACCCTTCAGTCCAAGGGCCAATGGTCTAACCACTGAGCAAAACCATCTAGAGCTCAAGCACATTCTTATATCAGGGCATTCTTATTTACTTTCACTTTCTGGAATGTTCTATCTTAACATAGCTGGCTCTCTCTCTT